TGGCGGCCTCTCCACTGGCCCCGGCCGGCCGGGGCTTTGCTGGGGCTCCTGTCTGGGGGTGGGGTGCCCTTGGGGCCTCGGATCCCTGGGGCTGGATCCGCTTCGGGGTGGGGCTGGGTGTTGTTCGGGGATTTTCGGGGTCGGTGCCGGTGCCTTCGCTACGATGCCGGTTCCTGGGCGGTGTTTCTTTCCTATGCCGGTTCTGTGGTATCGGTTCGGGGAGGGGGGGAGCTGCGCGGCATGGTGGGGTGCGGGTCTTGGGTCCTGTTTTGGGCTCCGGTTTTTCCGCTCGCACTTCTCCTCTTGCCTATTTATTTTAATTGTAATTATTAATTAATTAATTTATTTACCTATTTATTTGTTATTTTTATTTATTTATTTTTTTTTTTCTCTTCCTCGGTGGGGGGGAGCGGTTGCGGGCGGGTCGGTGTCTGGTGTCCGCTGTCGCATTGTGGGGGCCCCTTTTTTTTTTTTTTTTTTTTTTTTCTCTTTTTTTCTTTGGGGGGTTTGGCATGTCTGTTTTCTCGGGGGGCAGGCGGGCCTGCTGGGTGGGGGTCCTGCTGGCGGCGCGCCGCTGGTGTGTGGGGGTCCGGGCGGCTCCGGCGGGGGTAGTGTTGGGGGGCCGGTCTGGGCGGGCTGGCTGCGCTGGCTGGGTATTCGGGTGGGTTTTCCCTCCTGGAGGCATGGCGGGGCTGCTCTGTTCCCACTGATCGCGGCGGGTGGGGCTGCGGGGCGGGTGGGGGCCTGGAGTGGCTATGGCCGGCGCGTGGTGGGGGGCCGGGGCGGCGGAGCTGCTTTGGCCGCGTGTCGGGGCCTGGTGCGGGCTGCGGGGGGGGTGGCGGACGTGGCTGGGCTGCTTTGGCATCGTCCGGTGGGGGGGGCGGCGCGGTTCGCTCCGCTCTGGCTTTGTGCTGCCCCTCGGGCTGCTGGGGGGGGTGGTTGCGCCGGCTGCGGTCTGCTCCTCTTGCGGTTTTGCGCCGGGCGGCTTTTCTGCTCTCGGGCTGATTCTGTGCGCGGTGTGTTTCGTTGCGCGCTGTTGGCATCGGTCTTGGTGGGGTGGGGCTGCGCTTTTGGCCGGGGGGGCGTTTTGGGGGGGGTCCCGCGGCGCTCGTGGCCGGTTCGCGGCGGATGCGCGTGGGCCCCGGCCGGGGGCGGGGCCGTCTTAGTGTTTTCCTGGGTGGTGCGGTCGCGGTGGGTGTTGTGGCCGGTCGCCGGGGCTTGGTGCGGGGGGGCGGGGCGTGTTTCGGTGCTCTGTGGGGCTGGGGCGTTTCGGTCGGCGCCGTGGGGGGGCTGGTGTTCGGCGCCCGGCCCTACTTCGGGGTGGCCGGCTGCCGGCGGGGCCCGCGGACTCGTCCCCGCGGCTCCCCGGGGCGCCGGCATGGCGGTGGCTGGGGGGCTTCCTCGTGGCTGTCTCTCCTCCTGCCTTGGTGGGGTCTGATTTCCGGGGCTGGCCCCGCCTTGGTGCCTTCGCTTCTGGGGTCCCCTTGGGCGCCTGGGGCTTTGGGTCTCCCGGCGCTGGACTCAGTGCTCTGGGGGGTGTGCCTCTCCGGCTCTCCACAACCACTATTGAGCATTTTTTTTCTATGGTTAAAACTTTACATGCACAAGTTCACCCTCACAAACAACTACAGGTGCTAGGCTTCAGGTACTTAGAGATTCACTTCCAAACAGAAACCCCACATTCATATCTTCAGGTAACACAGAGTACATGTCAGACTTAATAATATTACTTTAGTGATAGTTTCAAGGTGTTTGCTTTATTGTATATCTCGTACCATGTTTTTTGGTTGTGCTGTTCTTTTTTCTTTTTTTTTTTTTTTTTCTCCATCTCATTGCAGGTGATGAAGCAGACTGAAAATGTTTTGTCATTGTCTCCTTCCTATCTCCTCTTTCTTTCATCTTTTGTCCTGTTTTTTTCTTTTTCTTTTTCCTTCTTCTTCTTCTGTTTTTCTGCTCTACTTACATTGCAGTGTCCATATGAACTGTAAAACTCCCTGCATAATTATAATAAAGCAATTTATATACATGAAACAAGTGGAGCAGTATGGCAATTGCGATACCGCTACACTTGTGAAAGTAAAATCTGTTGGGCTCCTTTTGGCATCAAGACAATTATTCTTATTGCCACCTTGCCAGACAGGACACTGTAAAAAAAAAAAAAAAAAAAAAAAAAAAAAAAAAAAAATAATAATAATATCTACTTAAATAAAACCATTCAGAGAATGGATTACTCGTGCTTAAATCTGAGCAGAGTGATGGGATAATTTTAATCATCTGGTCAAAATCAGTGTTTTAATCAAAATAATGTGTCTTGGTTATTTTTTCAATCCGTTTCCATGCAAACAGTGACCTTCCTGCAGCTTTTAAACCGCCTCAAACATTTCACATTCTATTAGATTAAAACCACAATCCTTGTGTTGAAGACCATGTTAAGAGAAATCCACAATTTCCTTCTAAACGCATTATAAATATCTTAAATGTATTGATTGGCATGCATAAAAGTCCCCAACAATTTATTGATTGCACTGTGTTTTTAGAATAAAATTTGGGTTTTTTATTTCCTTTGTATCAGGATTTTTTCTGGTGTGTCTAACTACACACATATATATAGACAACTTGTTGGGCGCAGGTTCGCACGTCGACATCACCACCAAAAATCTAGACTGTGGGTCTAGATACAGCTGAGATGGGGAGGAAGTGAGGGCAAGTTTGTGCGATAACGGAGGGACATGAGGGCAAAAAAGAGCGGAGATCCAGGTGGAAAAAGGGTCCCAGCGTTTTCGCGCACCTCGCTCTTCTAGCGTGACCATCTTCCCGAGTTGTTTTTCACAATGCTCGTCATACAAACAAAACAAGCAGGTCAGGAAATACTCATAGTGTAGAGCGGATGTAGATTTGACCAATCATAGGCCTCCTGTCTGCCGCACTGTCTGCGGGCACATTTCCTTTCACTGCGGCACACACACAGACAACTTGGTTTTGAAGAATAAATCAGCCTTTAGTGAGCGACCCCCTTCCTCCTCCGAAATACAGGGACTCAGACGCAGCAGCTGCAACCTATGTCTACAGTTTGAGAGCAGGGTGACTCTCCGCTGTTTCCCTGTTTCCCATTAAAATTGAGTTTTAATGAATTTCAAAGCTTTCACTGATTAAGTCTGAATTCGATAATCAGAATGTAGATTTAATATCTATTGTTTTTTTTTTTTTATTTACAACTAATTGCAGGGAAATGGAATGTCAGTGGGTGTGGTTTCAGCTGCCCTAATGGACACGCCCCCAGCGTCTCAGGGCAGACAAAGCAAATGTTTTTTTTTTCCATATTTTTCAGATCAAATTTTATGTGCTTAGTCGTGTTTTTAATCATTCACATTCAGATAGGTGATTAATACAGTAAAAGTATTTCTGTGGTCCAAGGATTGTCCAGCGTTAAGCTCCATCTATCTTACGAACAACTCCAATCAGCCTCTCTGTCCATGTTAGAGAAAATCATTCCCTGTGATTGATGCCCTAATTTTCCTTTCGGGAGATGCTAGTTTTCTGTAATAGAGGTTTGCATGTATGAAAAAAAAAGCTTAGGGCTTGGTAGATTTTCACTTGTGCCATATTATTTCTGGTTTTAGAAGATTATTTCCACAGTGCCTTTTAAGATGTTCAAGGATTATTATGTGCTTTCAGATCTCTCCAAAACCACATCCCTAAGCGGTCTGCTGTGTTCCTCGGTCTTTATAAAACTCTCCATTAATGTTGTACGCTAATGCTCCTATTATACCCTGGTAGGCACTTCCTACTAATTAGGTCTGAAGTCTGAAGCCAATTATTGCGTTTTAGTGAAGGGAATCAGAGTATGAGGTGGTGAATACAACACAGCATGTTTGTATCCTCATGTTATCTTGGTGGCAATGTGACACAGCATCAAAAAATCCAAGGGGTATGAATACTTACGAGCTGCATTGTATGTCACTTTGCACAATCCTGCAAGGTATCAAAGGCTTGATAGTTCATTATTCATCAGGTTCCAGTTTTATCTGACACTGCATAATACATTACACTTTTGAAAGCACAATAACCGCAAACCACTGAAAGCGAGTGAAGGTAAATTTATAGCTGCCCCCTCCCCCCCTTTTGTATCCAGTAGACCATAAACCATTATAGCTGCAGCTACGTATATGTGACTGTCCTGTCTCGGTTTAGGTTTTAGGAATAGGAGCTGTGAATCAGACATTTCACTTGATGATAGCAGATTGTCACCCCCAGAGTGTCCCCTGAATTCCTAAAGGGCATGGCAGTCTGGAAAAGTGAAACAAGCAATGATTAAATGTGTGGAGGAACTGATCTACTGGTCTACTTCTGCTATGCATCCCTATTGCTGCATCAGCATTCATGCATTAATTTCTTGAAATGTACATAAAAATAATTAAATGCCATGAATAGTATTGATATATCTTCCTTTAAACCAGTAAATTCCTGAAGAAATGAATCTAACAGAGACATGTAAACGTTTTTATCACTTCATGGCCCATTTGCCCAAACATGGTCAGATCCCTTGACGGCAGCTCCAACCAGACAAAATGTTCCCCTGTTTGCCTACAGGCTGTGGAGCTGGTCTGCTTGTGTTGAGTGTGTGTTTATCTGCGTGTGTGGGTGTGAGGATGAGTTGAGCTGATATGGAGTCATTTTGTGTCATGGTTACTTGTTCAGAAAACAATATTTTTTCACTTTCACATGAGGTTGAATATCTCCCAGTTTTCCAGCTCATTCTTTGATCCCTGTGATTGCAATTTCAGAACAGCGGACCACGCCCATTAGACGGACATCCATGCAATATTTCTCCCTTTTTTCCATTTTGTGCTCGTCTGTCACAATCAAATGCTTTCCTGATGTCTTTTGTTTCTCTCCTCATTTCACGGAGCTGTGATTTTTTTCTACGTGCTGCATCGTTGGCGAGGCCACGTGCTCTGTGTTTATCATGAGGAAGGGGTGGGAGGCAGAGTGACGGAGAGATCATTCTCTCTCTTTTTGTCCACTGCAACCAAAGGCACACACACAGAAACACACACACACATCCTCTCTCATCCAGATTGTGGCAGACGAAGAGACAAGGACAAAACCCCCAACCACGATCACTGAGAGCTACGCTATAGGTACAGTAAATTCTAATCTATTTGCAGCTTTGTATTCATTTAACCATTTCAACTGGTCAATAGAAAGGATGAATGTTTTTGCAACGCTTCAAAAGGCTTTAATTGTGCATTTGTGCCTCATATTGTCTGTGATAGTAAGACCTGACACCTCCCTTGAGAGGTGGCTGTTTTGTATATAATAAAATGAAGACATTTTTATTATTATTTCAGCATAGAATCTGTGAATTTTGATGCCTTGGCTTTGTTATTCTGTTTAAACCCCCCGGTGCCCCCCTCTCCTTCACTGGCACCTTCTGGATTTGTGTGAATGGAATGTCGACAGGTTGAATTTGTTGACCCCGCAGGGAACAAAAGGGCATTTACTAAAAGACTGTAAATGCATGCAAAAATATTTCGATCTTAAGGGGTTTACGTCACTGAGGAAGAAGCGGAAAATAATGTCTGGCTGTTGCAGGCTGAGGTGACTGAATGATAGCTCTACAGTAGGTGGAAGTCATAAAAGTTGATTGAATTTGGTGCAGGCTTACGTTAGCAGTGCCACGTACCTGAATGCATTTTCTGAATGCTCCAGGTAACGCCTGACAGTTCTGGAAGCTGGAATTCTGTCGCTCTTTTGGGAAATGAATACAAGGAATGTTTATTTATCTGCAAGCTCTAATAGTGTCAATAACAGCAATGGGAAGAGAACATCAATGAGCAAAACCATTAGTTTAATCCTTAAACATGTTTTTGACATCCTTTGACATTATCAGATAGTATATTCCAAATGTCCTTTTTTAACAAGAGTTGCTTTTTTATGTGTTTTGTCTTCATACCATTTTTTCCCCCCATTCCATTGAAGTCGAGGCTATCTTCCGTTTGGGAGCGGTCTGTTTTCTTGCTCTGAATTTATTAATAGACCCATAAAATCAAAATAGAATTCTGCTTTTTGTTCCTTCACCAGCTTCACATTAGTGATAATCTAGACTGTACCTCCTCCATTAGGTCTATATATGATATTTTATTTTTTAGATTTTCAATAGTGGTGAGAAAATTAACAGGCTAGAAATCTGATCAACTCTGTGTAAATATTAATGTGTAGAATTCAGCTTTGGCTCAAATATTCATACTGGGTGCATCTGTTTGGTGTTCCTTTGGCTGCATAGTAATAACCAATCTACTCACACCCCATATTTTTTATGGTGTGCTCTAGAATTTGCTCCCCACCATAATTTTTGTCTCAGTCTGCAGTGCGGTCAACGCATACGTCTTTAAGCTGAATCAAAGCTAACCTTGGGCAGTTGTTTTTGCCTATTTCTCTCTTATTTTTGTATATGTACGATAAATGATCAGCCCATTTTTTAAATCAATTACTGTAAAAAAATCTACCTTCAAGTGATTCACTAGATTCATCCTCAAATCTGTAATATTTAGTTTTCTTAAAAAAAACAACTAAAAGTAACATTTTGAGGAAAGCCATTAGAATCAAGCTAACTCAGATAGCTGTGTTTGCATCTGTTGCTCACATTACTTGTGCAGCAAAGTTTCTAATGTTATGTCTTGCAGAACTATTTTGCACATAAGAATTATTTGAAGAATCATAATTTATCTATCATAATACCAAAAAGCTATTTGCTGAAGAGAATTGTTCTTACCAGGCAAAGCTAACTAAGATAGTCGTGTTTTGGAATTTGGTCACAATTGCTAATATAAGCAGGTAACGTTATTTTCTATCACCTTCTATCTAAGAGCTCTTTTAACGGCCTCTAGTTTAGGTAAGGAAAAATCAAAGTTTATTAAACAGAATAGCAAAAATCCACATTTTAATGTAAGGTAACCTTGAAAGGTGAATGTGATCACTCCCTGGCTTTTAAAAATGAATGCTTGGTCAGGCCCCCTGCAGGTCACATATTGAAGTGACAGAGGTACTCTTCTTGTCAACCTGTCAGGCACCCTGGGATGCTCGGTCACAAATATTGACCCTTGGTCATGCCCCCTGTGTGTCACATCCACAGGGAGCTTGATCAATACTAACATCAATACTTGATGAGTTTGGAGTAACAATATGTTGAGAAACCACACTCTCTTGGAACTTAGGATGGTCTTCATACACAAACCCTGTTTGGAAGTAGACTTTCATTGAAAACTCAAAAAGGTAAACCTTCCAAAAGAGGTGCTGGTCATATTCAACACCGCCATTATTTAATCACTGTGGGGTTTAGTTCACAAACAAAACAGGACAGGTCCAAACTGCATTGAAACATTAGATCTGCAGAGAGAATCATAATGAGTGACCTTCCAATTGTCCTGAACCCGTACTGGTCTGGAGACAGGGAGAGGGCAGCTATTACCTCTGCAGACCCCACATTGCCTTGAAACAAACTAGGTCTTTACCTTCAGGGTGGCGCTATAGAGAGCTATTTGCAAAGACCATCCCCTGCAGAGACAGTTTCTCTTTGCTGAAAGAGAGTGCTGGAATCCGTACCTTGTATATTCGCACTAATGCAACTATATCTGTTCTAATGTTGTGAATTGGCGCTATATAAATAAACTGAATTGAATTGAATTAATAACACTTTTTCCCTAAATGTTACCAATGGGAAAAAAGCAAAACCAACGTCAAAATCCTTGTTTTTGTGTAAAGCCTTGTCGATTAAAGCTGGTGCTATAGTTACTGCTAGCTGCAGCTGTTTATCTGTAGGTGTTTGTCTCACAGTTTTTTCCTTAATATGTTCAAGTTAAACAAAGCAATAATCCTGTATCCCAAATACAACATTTTAAGAAAACGCAACATCAGCAAGCGAGGTGAAATAGATTATTGTCACTATTGTCAACATTGATAATAAAGAACTATGTAAATTTTACCAAAGTTGTTTTCTTTCTATTATTGCGTTTCTAACCATTTTTTTACAATAGCAGCCATTCAAAATGGCCCTTCCCAGTCAAACACCAGCCGAATGGCCGCCCACTTCCCAGCAGCTCCCAGCAAAATCCCCTCCAACTTCCAGCCAGTGGAGTGACCTCCTCTTGCATATATCTGACCAGGAGATAACTTTTCTCTTTAGATCTTAATGTTCACAAATCATTATAGAAAGAATATATTAGTAGAAAGATTGATGTTTAAGAAGGAATTGTAGGGGACCAGCAAAGAACCCATCAAGGAAAGTGGAAATTTGAATGGCTACTACTGTAAATCCAGAATCTGTCGGGTTGATTATTATATTTTATTAAAAGCAGACTTCTAAAAACAGGCTTACTTTCAAATCGCTTTTGCTCTAGTGCTACATTCAGGTCTTAAAGCTCAGTTCCAATGTTCTTTTTTGAAATCGGATATTTTTAGCGAGATCTATCAGTAATAACAGTGACCTTTATCTGACTTCAGTTTGAACGGTTCAGGACATTAAATCCTAGATGCATCATCAAGGTCCAGAGGGCCAAATTATGTCATTTTAGCCTTCATGCCCCTCCAGAGACAGATTTTCCGTATTGCACACTTAGACAAACGTTTAACTACGTAACCTGCTCAGTGCAAAAAACCCAAAACATAGTGTATGAGCAGCAACTCTGACTGGCGAAGGAATACACATCTAGACATCATACAATAGGGCAGATAAATATCGCTATGTTCACTCAACTATATTTAACAAATTGCAAAAAACTCTTTGAAAGAAATTACTCCTCCTCGATGAGAAGCTCAGCTGTTTTCTACTTCTGCATGCTGTGTGACGTTGTAAGCTTGATGTCTGTGTGTACACGCCCACCTTGAGACGGCTAGAATATTAGGTCCAAGGGGAAAACAGCATGGAGTATAAAAACTGCAGATATTGTTTGATCTCATCCCTGTAAAGAACTTACATACTTTATGAATAACTTAGCCTTAAAGTGACCTGGACGCCCAGAAGAAAAATGTAGACGACACACAGCAGTGCACTGTTCATAGAAGAAATGGCGAATGTGACTGGTTAGATAAAACTTTGTTGAAAAAAAGAATTAGCAAAAAGATCACATTTACCTTCTGTGTGTGCATAGCTTTAGTGCAAACAGGATGGCATATATTTGAAGTGAGCATTCTGCCTAAAGTGCATACATGTAACAAAAGCTAATATCAGCAGTTTCCTTTAAAACACAGCCATGTAAACTACTCCACGCACATTTTTTTAATTTTAAGCATTCAGGTTTAATGCCATGAGACCCCCAATATGCATGGGTCCATACTCCTTTTCTGCACCTGCCTTTAATGAGCGAGTATACACTCTGCTATCCCCATGCTGACCAGTCTCTGTGCGCTCATATCTACCGACCTGAGAAAGTAAACTCCCTGTGATTGGCTACTTTTCAGGAAACCCCGCCTCTTGAGACAGTATCAGAGATGGGCGGGTAGAGATGGCAGGAATTTTGTTTTTGAATGAAGCAAAGTTTCAAAGCAATTTAAAACAAATTCTAAAGAGAATCAAACAAGAATAGCACACCACAACAAGTACTGCTTTGACAGGTGCCCCTGAGCTACAGTATATTACGATGCAAGATGGCGACAAGTGGGGAGCAGCAAAGTGCTGTGAGAAAGATAAGGTGACTTTGTTAAATTTGCTGCAGTTGGTGTGTGTGAGAGAAAAAAAGCATAGATATTTATACTATGATTGATCTGCCCACCTCTAGAAAGTACTGTTTTCTTCCTGGTAACAGGTAGCATCTTTAAATATCTTTAGGCTAGTTACTGTTTTCTTAAAGAGAGTTAAAGATAGGTTAAGTGAACATCATTAAATAAATTAGTTTAACACAGTCATGAATGTTTTCTAACAGCAGAAGCCATATGCTTTAAAATACTAAATATTAAATTTGGAATTCGGAATGCTAATTTTAGCTCGGCTGTTGATATTTTGGAAAATTAGTGAATAATGAACACTTGTTTACAGTTAAACACAAGCCGTTTCTCAATATGGGTTCTTGAGCGTTCTCCTGTGCTCGCCGTGTACTCGTGATACGTCATCAGCCTCAGCCCGAGCACTGTTCCAATTGCAGAG